TTTTCATATGACTATAGATGGCTTTAATTTCTTCATCTGAGAACTGTCTGTTCATATCCTTTGACCATTTATCAATTGGGGAATGGCTTGTGTTCTTATAAATTTGTCTTAATTCTCTATATATTTTAGAAATGAGGCCTTTATCAGAGAGACTGGTTGTAAAAATTCTTTCCCAATTTTCTACCTTCCTTCTAATCTTAGTTGCATTGGCTTTGTGCAAAAACTTTTCAATTTAATGTAATCAAAATTATCCATTTTGCTTTTCATAATGTTCTCTATCTCCTGTTTGGTCATGAATTCTTCTGTTCTCCATAGATCTGATAGGTAAACTATTCCTTGTTCTCCCAGTTTACTTATGGTATCAGCCTTTATATCTAAGTCTGAACCCATTTTCACTTTATTTTGGCATATGGTGTGAGATTTGGGTCTATGCCTAGTTTCTGCCATACTCTTTTCCAGTTTTCCCAGCAGTTTTTTTCAAAGAGTGGGTTCTTATCCCAGAAGCTGGGGTCTCTGGGTTTATCAAATAATGGATTACTATAGTCATTGACTACTGTGTCTTGCATATTTAACCTATTCCACTGCTCCACCTCCCTATTTCTTAGCCAGTACCAAGAAGTTTTGATGATTGCTGCTTTATAATACAATTTAAGATCTGGAATTGCTAGGCCACCTTCCCCTGCATTTCTTTTCATTAGTTCCTTTGATATTCTGGACCTTTTGTTTATCCAAATGAATCTTGTTATTATTTTTTCTAACTCTATAAAATAATTTCTTGGTAGTTTGATTGGTATGGCACTGAATAAGTAAATTAGCTTAGGTAGGATTGTCATTTTTATTACATTAGCTCGGCCTACCCATGAGCAACTGATGCTTTTCCAATTATTTAGATCTGATTTTATTTGTGAAAAGTGTTTTGTAATTGTGTTCATAGAGTTCCTGGGTTTGTTTTGGGAGGTAGACCAATTCCTTCACTTTAAAGAGAAGGAAACTAAGGTATGTGTGCATTTATAACTTGTCCAACAGGGTTAGCAGAGGCAGGATTGGAACTCCACAGGCAGCACTTTTTTTAATTAATTTTTTTCAATTCATAAAAATCCATTTTCTCTCTCTCTGACTCCCACAAATTCCCACACGGAGCCAGTGCTCTTTTCACTCCTCCCTAGTTCAGCCTGATGAGCTTGCAAGGGCAATAAGCCTTTGTCTGAAACATCTGCGGAGCACCTCCTTCTGGAGTTTGGACAAGCTCCCTGGAATCTTGTGAAAACGACAAAAGACAACTTCAGAGAAGTCTCAGTGACTAGAGTTACCCCACAATGAACCGGTTAGTGTGAAGCCACCCCTTGGCGAATCCTAGCGAGTAAGTTACAATGGCTGGGGCTACTCCCAAGGTGATTTGATTGCTCAAATGCTTCAGAAAATGGAATCTTTAGGAATCAACCTTCGGCTGGCTTATAAAAGTGTGTACAGAAACCTACTTGGGTCCTTTCACTTTTTCCCAGCTCAGGAAACAGACCCCAAAAAAACAAAACAAAGAGCTTTCAAATGCCCACAAGCCTCAAGGGACAATAATAGCTGCCTCTGGGTGCACAGAAGAGCTCACCTATGCAGCCAAAGATGGTAGTTCCACCCCAAGAGATGGCAGCAGCCAGGATAATAGTAGGATACTGCCCTGGGACAGAGAAAGGCATGAGCTGATCACCCACACGGACGATGTCTTCTTGGACCCCTAGTCTTGGAAAGGGGTTGAGAAGAGTTAAGGTGGAGTTCCTAGGCAGCATGAAAAGCATAATCCAGCACTTAAGTTACAAAAGGAAAACTTCTTGGGTAGTGCTAGCCTTAGGAGTTACTTCAAGAGTAACCCCAAGTGCAAGAGTCAAGAGATTGGATTTCTGGGCAGATAACAGGAGAGTTCCTAGGCAGCATGCTTCTTGGAGAGGGAAGGTTTGCCTAAGTGGCCCTTGTAGCTAGAGAAGTAACAAGGGACTAAAGTCATTACATAGCAGGATGCCAATACCCTACTTTCCTCTATTAATACTATGCCTTGTTTCAGAGCATCACTGTGCTGACGTATCTGGCCCTCATATTACAGATAAGGAAACTGAGGTGATTGGCCCAAGGTAACAGGGCTAGGAATTGGAACACAGGTAAATTTTCAGGCTCCAAATCTAGTGCTCTTCCCTCTGTGCCATACTTGGCTCTTCTAGCATACAAATTTGGACACTGTAGGTCTGCCATGGCTTTGCCTTACTGGGATGTATGGGAAAGAAGAGTCCATACTTCTGGGCAACCTTAGTGGTCTGGAAGGGACCATATGTAAGATCTTTTGAAAAACAGAAGTTTCACTGAAATTCTGGTGTCACCTCAGGTTCTGGTCCCTTCCAAGGGGAGCTCAAGAGCTACTGTCACTGCTTTATGTGTTTCCAAATCTATGTATGAGTTTCTGTGAAGTTTCTGTGAGCCTGTGACATTTTCTCTGAGAATAAATTATAATACTTCTCTACCCAATTTGCATTTATTGCCTTGAGTAATAGCTGTACGGGATCAAGGGATCCTGTTACCACCTGTGTGAAATAAACATGAGCTATATTCACAGATCTTCCCAGAATAAAAACTTGGGGTAGAAAAGAGGACATAAGACGACAAAAAAATACATGGCCTTTTGGAGTTAACCCCTAAGATTGGACATAGTCTGGATAAGAAAGTAGTTTGAAGACCACAGGCCATGTGAGATAGTTGTATTAACAGATCTTTGTACGTGTTGTTTTTCCCCTAGTAGAATGCAAGCACCTTGAGGGCAGAGATCATTTCATTTTTGTCATGGTGTTCCCTGTGTTTAACACAGTTCGTGGAACATAGTAGGCATTTAATAAATCCTTATGGAAATGAACTATTCAGTGAGGAAAATAAGCAAAGACAATATAATCAAGCTTCCACAAGTGTCACATAAGAAAGAAGCATACCCAAGAATCAAAAGCACATTCTCTCTCTGGTATAGAGATCTCAATACACCTAAAAAGTATTTATATTCTCACCCTTAAGAACTAGATTCCCATATGAATATAGCCTTTTCAAAAGGCTATCCAAATCATATCCAACTGTCATAGCTGGCATCTGTATAATGACCCAATCACTTTAGCAGCTATGTGGAGGACAGATTGGAGAAGGGAGACACCTGGGGAAAGGAAACCAATTAGGAGGCTAGGCAAGACCTGATGAGACTCTGAATTAGTGTGGTGCCCTAACAGAGAGAAAAAGATGGATGCCAGACTGTTGTACAGGTAAAGGTGATGAAACTGGGCAACTGACTGCATATGCACATGAGGCAGAGTGAGAAGTCAAGGATGGCTCCAAGGCTGTGAACTTGTGTAACTGGAATAAGAGCAGTACCCTCAAGAGATGCAAGAAAGTTCTGACAAGGGGTAAGCTTGGGGGAAGGGAGGGAGGAATGAGTTCTGTGTTGGACAACTGACTGTTCTGGAAATATATTTGTAATTTTCTGCCCCTAAATACATCTTTACTTAAGATTTCTCCCTACTTAGAATACCCTCTACCCCATTTACCATTCTTCTAAATGTTGCAAGACCAAGCTGAAATTTCCAACTTCTATGGAGATGCTCCCAGAACACTCCAGGAGCAACTCCTACTAAGTTGTCAGTACCCCTCTGACAGTTACCACTTAGCACAGGAAGCTGTGAAATGCCTTCTTTTCCCCAAAATAACCTATTGCTGTAAGGCACAGATGTCACTTCTTTGCATCTTTCATACACAGCACAATAAACATTTGTTGAGTGACTGGCTAAACTGTAGGATCAATTCTTAGAAACTCTGGTTCTGATGACAAACAAGACCACTCATTCAATTAGGAAATAAGCACAGGGCTTAGCACACAGTAGGCACTTAACAAATGTTAATTGACTGATAAAAAAAGATAAGCTCTCTAAGCAGAAGAGAAATGTGTAGGCTTTAAATGAAAAGGACAAGAGAGGGAGCCAGATCCAGAAAGTGAGTGAACTGCGTTCAGACCCCTCAGCCTCCGTTCAGACCTCAGCCGTGGCCAGTAACCAAGACTCCTTGGAGTTTCTTTTCTTCCTTGTAGTGTTATAGCTAAGGTCATAATGATTATATAAAACGTAAGCATCTACATTAATTCAAAAAGGTACCAGAGAACCTCTCTTCTCTCACTCAGATGGGACGTGAGAGGAATAAGCTTGACTTTTCCATGATTATTCACATAATAGTACTGCTGTGTTAACATAAAAGCCAATGTGTGGAACAGCTTGACACATTTTAAACAATTTCAAAATCAGTCTTAGAAGGATCATTTACTAATAAGCTAAACACAAATTATTTCTGTTAATTGAAACTGATCCCCAGCGTTCTGGACTTCTAGCCTATAGTTTCTATTTCTGTATGTATTTGAAAGTAACAAAACTGACCTAAAATATTCTACAGTTCAGATTAACTTCATATTCTCTAGTTACTATATTCAATATAATCATTTCTACTGCTCGTGATGAATTATAAACTCTGAATTTGTTGCCTGGAGAGGTCTAATATTTGATCCTAACATACAAAGCATAAAAATTTCATATGAAGTTAAGTAAATTTCAACATAAGCTCCCATTTGAATTTTGTTATCTTTAAAGGGGAAAATATGTTTTTAACCTGTTAAGCTAAAATCTTTGCAGTTAAACAGTACCTAATGCCCACACTCTAATGTTTGAATGAAGAAAATTACATGAAGAAGCAATAAATAAACTTAACTGAAATAATTCAATTAGTAAGTGCAGGAAAATCTGCTTGAAATATAATGATCTAAAATTTAAAGAAATATATTAGACATAGTTCTTTTTTTGGAGATATGACTAATTTATTCCACACATTCCTGAGACAGCCATCAATCAACAAGCATTTATTAAATGCTTACTATGCTGAAAATAAAATGTTTTCTACCTTCAAGACTAACTTTTTAATGATAGGCATTATCTTACCTCAAGAGAGTCTGCTGAATAAAACTGTGTTTTCTATTTTCTTCAAATTGCTTTGATCTATATTTCCACTTCATTAATTCCAAGGCAATATTAAAGTAACACATATTTCCATGAATCTGTTAAGATACAAAAAAGAAGTTGGTTTAAAAACAATTTTTGTTTTTAGGAGAATACAATCTATCAAAATACAGATATCCTATGCAAATCAATGTCAAGTAAGTATTTTTATTTTAGAAACTGGATCTTCCTCCTCAAGCAGCTCACTCCAACCAAAGGCTTTGCATTGTGAACATTTTCAACTTTTTAAATTAAACAATTTTAGTGCACGAAAGTCGTCAATTTTTTAAAAAGTTTCACATTAGTTATTACTACCCATTAAAATTTTTAAAGGAATTTTACACTTCCAGTATTCATTATGTTTTAGGTTCAAATGTTATAATGTATGTAAAGTACTTTGTAGCTTTTCAAAAACTGTAAATGTCAGCTATTACTACTGTAATGATCTCAGTTTATCAAAAATTAGGGGGAATATTAAGGAAGAGAATCTTTATACTTCGAAAATTCTGATTCACACACTAGCTTCTAATCCCCACAAATGTACATTTGACCATCTTTTTTGAATTCTTTTAATCATTTATCCACATTTAATCATTTTATCTGTTTACCAAGTAAACAGCTTCAATTTCCATCAAACTTTTACCCTCCCAGAGTATCAGGCATTTTTCAGATCAGAGCTGAAATACATCTTTCAAGTTTCATTATTTATGAAGTATTATTAGTACCCTACTTGTATGAATATTTTTAAAACCAACTCACAAACATGTAACTGAAAACTTTATTAAATTCACTTAAGGTACTAACAGATATTTGAAAAATACATTTGAGTACAGATGACGAGATGTTATTTCATTCAAACAGCAAAATATTGTACTGTCTATTTAAAGGGGAAAAATCCAAAAGGCTTATGAATATTATAATCTACATCCCACTCCAAGGTCAAAATATCTCTGTCTCCTAATCCATTTGGAAGTAGCATTTGTGCCACGCTGAGGTTTAGTAGTCTTGGCAATAAGGACTAAATTTGTGTAAACTGGAGCAACCTGAACCAGTCTGGCCTATCGGATGACACTCTTCCTTAAAGACAACAGTCTGCTGAGCAGACAGGCCACCACAGGACCATGTTAAATCTTTCATGGTCCACCTAAAACCAGACTGACCAAGCACAGCAGTTAGCAAAGGCCTGTCGGATTTAGGAACTTCTGACCTCCTACTAACCACCCTATTCAATCACTTCTTACACAGGTTTTCACATACATCTGTATTTTTTGTCCCTAAGTTCTTAGAAAAGCACACAGAAAAATTAAGATTTAAATAAATATAATGTTCTAGAAGTTAGGATTTAATGTTTTATTTTTACTTTTTATTGCCTAGCCTTAAAAATGCTTTTTATTAAACTAAGACAAAACATAAAGGTGCTGATTGTTGCTTAACTTTCAGTAAAGGCAGCACAGATGTACCTTTTCCTTGAGTCTTAAACGATTCTCCAGCCTTTTCCACAGGTTGTTTGGATGGGGGAGTTGGGCAGGGGGAGCAGTAGGAAGACGTGAAACCAAAGGAAAGAGCCTTATCCCATAGAGAACAAAGAATCCATCCATCCTCCCCTGCCCTTTTTCTAGATATCATATACCCAGAGACTTATCTTAATCCCAACAAGTCCTCTGACAGATTCACACACATAAATCATCAAATGGGGAACTAAACAGAATACAAATATTAAAACAATTTTAAAATGTTTATTAAAGTACAGTTTCTTTGGGTATTAGAAAATGATTGTGCTGTTGACTAATCCGATGCTAATAAAGAGTTTTAACAAATATATTTTGATAAGCACTCAAAACCTGCTCTCCTTACTACTATTCCAACTTCCAACAACCTTTTTTCCCCTCATCTGCTTTATTACAGACTTTACTAGTATAAAGATTCCAATTCTAAGTGACCTCAGCTTATTTCTACTCTTCAAAAAACTATTCAAAAAGGCTTCCTGACCTCTAAGAGATTCACTCACAAATCTTGAGAAGAATGAAACAGAAAATCTGGCTAGCAAAGGGCAGGTGTCCTCAGGCAAGAAGGAACCTACTGCTTCTCTTGGCACCCAGATGCTGTGGACAACATAACACCTGCACTGAGTGAGACTGCCTGGTGCTGCTGGTTGTAGCAGGCCTACACTTTCATGAAAAGTACAATCTCTTGTCCTAACACAATCACATTTTAGAAAGGGAAAGTCCCTGAGTACAAAATGTATAGGACATGCACAAGAAGGCAAAAAGAGGAGCGCTTTTTTATAAAACATATTTGTTGCACCAGTAATGCCTCTATGGCACCGAGGGATTTCTTTTATGATAAATCAAGCTGTATGTGATACTATAAAGACCCAAATCTTCTAGTGGACAGCAATTAACAGAGAGAAATAATTACAAATGCAGCAGGTACGACTTTCAAATCTTCCCTAAAAAGTAAAAAAAAAAATGCCTTAGCTGGCCCTTACATCAAAAATCACCTGTTTTTCACCAACAGTTTAATTTTTTTGAAACTGGCCAACTATAATAGTTTGGGTTTTTGAAGGTTGTAAGAATAGAGTATTGAGGCAGCTAGGTGGCGCAGTGGACAGAGCACCGGCCCTGAAGTCAGGAGGACCTGAGTTCAAATGCGACCTCAGACTTACAAACATTTGACACTTAGTAGCTGTGTGACCCTGGGCAAGTCACTTAACCCCAATTGCCTAAAAAGAAAAAAAAGAAAAGAAAGAATAGAGTATAAGCTGAGGCAAGCTTCAATGTAAAAGCTGAAATTAATGTGTGCCTGTCTTCCAAGAACCAGGCTAACCAAAGAGTGGCTCCTAGATCATGGGATCACAGCAACTCTTGCACGTCGGACGGTCTAAGGAACAGGGATTGCAAATCTAGGTAAAAGAAGGAACCACAACTCAAAATCGTGCAATTCTGCAGTATAGTTGAATATATAAAAGAAATGGATGATGACTTTTAAGAATCTTTATTATGGCTTGGACAATTTTATGAGCAAATCTTTCTGAAAACTAAAGCTGTTCAAATAAGAATAAGATAGTGTATAATAATAAACAAGAAAAGATGGTACACTCTGATGAAAGGGACAGGGTTTCTGCCTCTCCTTGTGTCCCCAGTACTTAGCAAAGTGCTAACCAATGCTAGTTAACTGACTGATTTAACCTCTCAGCCTCAGTCTCCTCATCTATAAAATGGGGATAATAATAGCACCTACCTGGATAAGGATTAAATGATACAAAAGAGCTACGTCAATGTTAACTTATTATACCACCAACTCTATGCACTAAAAAAGCATATCCAGGCTGTTTATTCTTACTCTAATTCTGGGACGAATGATTCCCACCCACAATAATCTAGAATTGAGGCTAGGATGGTGCCAGCAAACTGCTCACAAGGAGGAACAAGAAACACAAGGTCATACCTACCACCAATGAATGGAGAGTTCCCTTGGGACCACCTACTCCTACAGCTTCTTTTCAAAATACGGAGGGAAACAAAAGGTGACTGAATTGTCCAACATCTCCTAGCTAACGAATGGCACAGCCGAGACTGGAATCCAGGTCTCCCAATGACTGGGGTCAGCCAAGGTTTCATCCTACACAATACATGAAGTGGAAGCTCTGACAGCCTTAGGAAAAAGGGGCCACAGCTGCTGCTTAAGGTGGCTAAGAACACTACTTATAGATAATGAAATGGTTTACTTCTAAAAAATCTGTGAGGAAACTAATTAATAGCTTCAGCAAAGCAATATGATACAAAAAAATAAATTCACAAAAATCATTAGCATTTCTATACAGTGCTAACAAAAACCAAGCCAAACAACAGAAAGAACAATTCTATTCTAATAACTATAAAGTGCATAAAATGTATGGGCACTGACCTATCAAGACAGATTCCAGATTTGTGTAATAAATACAAATAAAACTACATCACAGTAATAAAGGAAGACAAATAATTGAAGGGAAAGTCAATGTTGAAGGGGCCACTGAAAGACAAGAACACTAATATTCTGTGAGCCTGTAATCAGTGAATCTGTCCAACCATTCTGGAAAACAATCTGAATTATGTTAGTAAAATAACTAAAATGTCCACATACTCTGACCCAGAAATTCCACTGGTAGGCATATACACCAAGGAAATCAAAGACAGAAAAAAAAGTCCCGAATACATCAAAATATTCATAGCAGCACTTTTTTGTAGAAGGAAAAAAATGGAAACAAAATAGAGGCCCATTATTAGGAAATGGCTAAGCAAGTTGGGGCATAAAATGTAACAGAATATTATTGTGTTATAAGAAATGATGAATATGATAAACATAAGAAAACCATAGGAAAATTTATATGAACTGATATAAAATAAGAACCAGGAAAACAATATGCACATGACGACAACGTGAATGGAAAGATCAATAAATTAAAACTATATGATGCAAAATAATAATGGCCAAGCTTGACGTGAAAGAAGAAATGAGAATGTCTTTTCCTCCAATCCCCTTCTTTGAGGGGATGAGAAAACATAAGTGTTGGAACACTGCATATAATACCAGACTTTTCCAGACTTTAGTTTTACTGAACTGCTTTTTCCCCTTTCATTCTGTTATAAAAGATCACTGGTTGGAGGGGGAATAGATAGGCAAATGTAAGTATAATATTAAAATATAAAATATTCAAAATATAAAAATATGATATTAATAAAAATTTACTCTAAAATAAATGGCAAGATATTCATCATTCAAGGTTGGGCCTCACCAACATAATAAAAATGATTATACAAACTAAATTAATTTAAAGATTTAGTGCCACATCCATCAAGCTAATAAGAGGTTACTTTATAAAATTAGATTAAATAATACAATTCATTTAAAACAATATAGGAGATAAAAAAGCAGGAATGAAGGGTCATGGAATTATCAGATTTCAAACACTATGAAAAGTGATAATTATTAAAATCATCTACTATACATTAAAAAATAAGCAGTCCAGTATTGGATAACCAAAAGAACACAAACTATTGTTGAAAAGGTTCCCTCTTCA